AGTTTCTAGGATTAATTTTCCTTGGTCATTTTTCATTGGAAATGGTGCAGCTTTGTTCACATAACTGTTGAAGTTGAACATCACTATTTATGTTATGCGCGTGTATGTAGCATGTTTTATCCACTTTTTCTCGAAGTATAAAATAACTGTCAAATGTAGCTACTGATTGAATTTCTTGCGTTTCGAGAATTTGCGATGACCTATTCAGATTCTACTCATTGTTGCCCTGAGGTTATCTGTTTTCGTTGCATTTTGCTTAACCAAACTGCTTCTCCCATCATTATTATAGTTGTTTTGAATCTCACACTGATTTCTATTCATTTTTGTCTTTTTATTGTACTCATCTGTCTTTTTCTCCACAACCTCATTTTCATTGTGGCGCTTATATATTTGTAGCCTTTTTGTACCAATGTTTTGTGTTAAGTAAAATTATAAATGTGTCTACTATCTTTATACGATTGAATAAATGAACCATGATAAGTATCTAATAGCTAGCGTTAAAGTTTTTAAGCCGTTCTTCCAGTTTCAAATTCTAATCGGGAAAGTTTGAAAAACTACTTACCTTTGGCAAATGACATTGAATGGGTAGTGCGTTCATTAAAAGTGCGCTGTCTCAAAACATTGATTACATCTAAATCATGCTAATTGAGCATGTTTTGAAATATAATTAATTGTATGTCGAGCTTAGTTAGCATTTCGTAACAGTAATTCACATGTTTATATATTCTTAGGTACAATTTTTTCATATAATGCGACAAAACCAATCAGCACCAATTAGTAGGTTGATAATGTGTTGTGAGGTAGTTGAGTACATAAAACTTAATCATTTAATATATTATCCTAAACTTGTCAAAGAGATAATCACATTTCTTACTAGGTAATGAAATGTACTGATGCTCTCTATTTGTGGTGCAACTGTTGGACATGCACAAAAAGAGCTGGTTATGTGTTTGTTTTAACTACGTTAGGACTACCTTACTGTTTCTGATCCTGATATTTTAAAGAAAATTAATGAAAACTGACTTTTATAGTCCATATGCAAACATGCAAATGTAATCACTACTTATATCTTAAATCTTGGAAAATTTTCGAGTTCTTTTCTGTCTCTGTTTTCCTAATTTCAGTGGTCATTATATATATCCTTTTACAATGAATAACAAGTTCATTTACGTGATTTATTACTCAGTCATGTCAGTGTTTACTAAATATTACGGTATAATTCATTGTTCGAGATTATATTGTTCCTGGAAATTCCTCCTTCTAGAATGCAATGGAAACCAAAAACCGATCACACTTTCATATCGCGTATTTATAAACGCTTAACGCTTGAAATTTATCTTCTCGAGGAGTCGTTACTTCATCTACATATCGGATTTTATCTTAATGCAATTTTGTAAATTATTTGAAATTTATGGTCAAAGGGAACCTATGGTTCAGAAATATTTAGATTTTCATTTTATAGCAAAACCACCAATATATTAATGTGTGTACTTTTTCAAGTTATACTCTTTAAAACTAGATCTGTTGGTTTTCAAGGTCATATCCAGATGCAAAGCTGTATAGTATTGGTGTGCACTGTTTGTTTGTCAACTGCTAAAATGTAAAATACTTAAATTGACATGCACTATGATTGGTATTGAAAATGCTTTCTAAACATACGATGATTTAAATTAAAGCTTTTCTGATTTAATCAATATTCATGCAATGACAAATAAGAATTGACTAGAACCTGACCAGAGTTTTAACAGGTTTATAATTTTCTTAATTTCATTGGGTCGCCTGCTATTGAAGGTTTACTGTTTTATATAGAATGATTGCTAATTTCCCAGAATATTACCTTTTCGAACAACTTTAAGGAAGTAATAGTTTCAAAGATCTATTCATTTTCTTTTTTATTCATTATTTGAGTCCTATTTAAAAATATTTCTGAAATTTAAACCTGATATTATTTCAATTGTTTTTTAATGTTTGAGGATTAAAATATTGTAAGTAGAAACATCCAATGTAAATGCTATTAAAAATTCAAAAATTGAGTTATTCAATGAGTTGAATCAACAGGACTTATTTTATGTACTTATCTGACCTTACGTTATATTTGGTTAACGTTTTCATCAGTTTGTCCTTAAAAATTTTCTGTTTTCTAGTTTCCTTATTATCTAATTGTAACCATAAATTTAAAATACGAATGTTTATATCCCGTCGAATTTATTTAAACGTTTTCACTGAACGCTTGCAAGTATGAATGTTAGAGTTTGATCGTTTTGCTTATTGACTTTTCGGATTTCTTTTATGCAAGTTTTTTTTTCTAACCAGACCGACTAGTGTCTTGAAGAGTCCTGACATCTTCAAGCTAACCTACCTATAAGCCTACTGTTTCAGGCTTTAATACGAGAGTATATTTTGTTCCCACCTATTGCTCTTTATCGCTAGTATATTTGTATGACAGTCCATACTTTTCTTGCGTTCATAAATTAACCTTATCTTCAGGATTTTGTCTAGCTAAACAATGTTAAAAACTTGATTTGGGATTCATAAAAGCTTCTTCTGTATTCCGTTCTGCACTTTTAATTTTCTCAAAAGACTTGAGAATCTCTGGTGCTAAACATGTATATCCATAATACTGCAATATCAGTCGATTGTCATCTTCAAGCAAACTTATTTTAATTGGAACAAATTTAATTGTAAATCAGAATAGTAAATATAAGTTGATGAAAATGTGTGAATCGAACGGTCATAGATGTCTACTGAAGTGCGAAATAAGGACCCTTAGGATTTTAATGTAGATATAAAGTTGCTAATCACAATGAAAAAAGCATTTTTAAAATAACATCTCTATTATTAAAGGCTATCACTTGATTAGAGCTTATGAAATATCTATCACTGTACCGTGCCTTCCTCGCTATTAACTCAAATTTTCTGATTGCCGCGTCATTTCGAGTAATTATGCGCATTTTGATTGGATATTCAAGGTTGGATTCATACTACTGGTTGTTTAAAATTGTATTTTACTCAGTGCATCAACATTTTCGCTTATGTAGTCATAAATATAGCGAGAAAAGTTTATATATTTTAAAAGCAATCAAAATTTACGTCGGTAATATAACCAGTTGTTGTAATCGTGTTTCGCTAAAGCTTGTTTCTTCTAAATCGCTAACAGTAAAAAAACAGACCATGTACTTTTTGTTTATATAAACGAACCTTATGGTTCAATTAATTTCAACTGAATCGTTTTCATATACAGTGCATTTTAATCTACTTCCATCACCTTAAATGTCAAGATTTGGGACCGTAACAACATGGGCAGTTAACACTTTATTGTGGTTCATTTAGTATGAAGACTATTTCTTAAAAAAAATCATTTTTAATTTTTATTGTCTGATCACAAAGACTTTATTAATAACATTTCAACCAACCAAGTAACTCATCTGTAAGCTTATAAATTCAAGTTTCGTACGTGCGAGTAACAAGTTTTAGGTTTGTCAATGCATTGGTATCTAATGTAAATAAAAGTTGGCTGTATATTCGCTGATTGATTGCGTGTTGGAATACTGTTGCTTACATAGTATTCAATCATCCATCTCATCTAGGCTTAAGGATGTGTTTAATGAAAATAAACTTTTGTGATATCAACACATTTTTTCTACTTCTGATTGTCTAGATTTCAGTGCAACACTACAGCTGACGTTTCAATCATTGATTTATTACATTGTGCTACCCACTTTCCAGGAAGTCTGCATCTGCCTTCACAGGCTAGACCAATAATTAATGACTTCACTGACTGATGTTACATCTTGGTGCGACCGATAATATCTTCCTGTCAACCCCTTACTATTTTGCTGTACAACACTGCACGTTCAGACAGGCGTTGGTTAAATTATGTGTTCTATCTGAAGTTCGCACTGATGATTTCAAAGAAGGGAACAAAAGCTTTATGAATACAACTGTTAATTCAGAGAACGCAATTCCAGCATAATAATTTCTCTAGGGCTAAAACATTTCTCTCTTAACTCCTGTTTTATAAATTCATTTATGTAGAATGATTTCAAAGAATTGTTTTACAATGAGCTTGTAACTCAGTTCAATGAACTCGAGAAAAGAATAAATAGATTAGAAATAAACTCAAAGCCTTCCAGTACACCTAGCCAGCAAAACAGAAACTTATAAATCCGCTTCCCTAACGTGTATCACTAGTTAGGACTTTGGATATTCATAATTCTTTTAGTTCATAGTTAAGTAAAACACTTTAAAATTTCTTATTTAAGTTTCAGTAGAATAAAAAAGTCAGTTTTGGTCGTAGACATTGTATGAAATCTGAGTTTAATAGTGGAGTGCTTATAAAGTTTAAAAATTTCTTTATTTGTTATCGATCGCTCAAATTCATGGTGAGAAAATAACGATCATAAAAGAAGCTAAAGTCTTATGTCTCTGTTGACCTATATGGTAAGATGCATTGATTTTTCGTGTAAAGAACCACAAGTTCATATTTCACTCTCATTTTTGGCAAAGATCCAACTTACGGTATGTGATTATATGAGAATTACTGTCCAAAATCTAAAAAATGTAATAGATTCGGATGCTATCACCCACGTTATTGAACTGTGATGTGCATGCAGTCATTCAACTAAAAGAAGTTTTTAGGTAACTGAAACAAAAATGTCCTTAAGTGCTGCATTGACATGTATTAAAAAATAATTGTTGCGACGTTTTATTGTTTATGTCTTTATCAAGTAACATGCATAAATGAACTGAAAAATCTGATGCATTTATTCTCGCTAGTAAGTGACGTCACCCTATGGTTCTATTAATCCATGTGTCACGGATTGCTACCTTGATCTAGAAAAATGTTCTGGTAATTAGCCACTCATTGTACTTTATAAATTGACTACCTCTACTACATTTTATTGAGTTAGATTTGTTCTTGCTAAACACCAGCGTTTTGACTTATTTTTAAACAACAATTGATCTTTGTTTCAGTGCCCAGTTTTTCTTCCATTTATTAGGTAGACTTATTATTGTTCAAATGGATTCATAGTCGTTGAATTTGTAAGTATATATTCAACTTTTAAGTTTGTTTTTTCGGTTTCATTTTTTTGAACTATTTTTTTTTCAAATAAAAAAACTATTGTCAATAATCTTTTTCTGAGAGGAGTAACTATGTACTGCACGCTACATATCACTAGGGTGATTAAAATAATTAGTAAATTACTGGTTTGATATTTCGAATGTGTAATTTTGTACTCATAAAGTACACCCAAAATGTTAGATTTCGACCTTACCCTTTACTTAATAAGACACTTCATAGCATCACTTCTATCGTCTTCAGCTTAATCCTTAATTCATGTGTTCTGTATGATATTTCATAACTTTCAGATAACTGGATATTTAAGATTTAATGTATATGAATTCAGCAGAAACATTTTGCGTACTTTAGCTCAATTCTCTTGAACTATTTCATACAATGATTTTACTGACTTTTTCTAAAATAAAGGTCACTGGAGTTCTTATGGTTGGAAATATCCCAAATAATCCAATATATTAGTCAAAAGTACATTCTGCAATACAATGTAGACAATATCTTACTGTAGGTATAACTTCAGAAGCTTAAATTGCTTAGTAAAGTCATATATTTTTTATGCTAAATTTTCACGTCTTTTATGAATTCAGTAATCGATTGTTGTATTTCTTGACAATTTATGGAGATCTACAAAATAAATCAATTTTGGGTTCATTAAACTGTTGGTTTGTCAGTTAACGGTTTCCTTAAGTTGAAAGTTTAAATAAATTTAATGTAATTACTGTCAAACTAGTGTTTTATCAGTTCCGGATAACTAGTATGTCCGTCGCTATAAATTTTGGTGTCTGTTTTTCATTCACTTTACATGTGATTGATTTCATTACCCACACTTTTTCTCTCAGATAGCAGGATAATCTTTTTGTAATCTGCGATATCGTATTTGATTTTGGTGTTGAAATCTCCTGACATCATACTCAACTATTTCTAGACAAAGTGAAGGATAAATTCTAAATGCTGTTTTATGACTAAATAACCAGTATTTGAGTTTCTGAACATAGATGTCGAATGTACTATCTGCATTTTCTAACAATTTATATGTATTGCATTCAAGAAATTATAAAAGACCTCTTTCAACTAAATTTATTACACAATGAATAATCACTTGAAATATTGGGTTATTGGAATATAGTCAAAAAATCGAGTAATCTAACCCACTATATTTCACTTTCCTTAAACACAATGGAGTGATAATCTACGACTAGTCGAAAATAACCTCAAATACGTATTCGGAGAACATAAGTAGCATACATTCCCAATTTATTAACATTTAAATTTTTTTTAATCAGATGGTAAAAACATTTAGATTATTCTAAAATTATTATACGGGCAATTTTCCAATGTTCTTTATTTCTATTCCCTAACTTACGACCAAAAAGCTATCATCTCTTATTCGAATCATTTCAGTCAAATGTATTGAACTAAGGAATCGCAAACAGATTCGGTATTCTTGCTCATACTCTTAATAGCAACAGTATCCTTCATTATTAAGAATGCGCCAATGCGAATAAATCAAAACTGTACATATCGTTATGTGGAGTGATTTTTTACATTTCTGCCTATTTGCTCTTTGGGTAGCATTGAGCTGATTTCAGCGTGACAATGTGCTAATTTAAAAAACCGCGCAATTTTTTATCTCATGCATGTTTATATGTTTTACTGTTAAATAGCATTCAATATGACGTGCAAGATCGCTCAGAAGTAAGTAACTCATGAATAAGTTTTCACATCATTTGTAAAAATGCAAAGCATTTGGACCGTATTTTAATTTCCTACTGCTGTTTTCTTATAATAAAGCAGCCAATCACGCTCTTTAAATGGAACCAATTGACCTGCATTCTGACAATGGCCTAAATATATTCTTCAAACATATAACATTGATTGAATTATGCTATTAATCGAAAAACGAGTTCCCAATCTAAGAAAATTAATTTTCCGCGTCTTTGATGTCAACAGGTGTTTTCATGTACGAAAGTGAACTAACAGATAGAAATCTAGGGTCTGTATTGTATAATACCATAAGAAGAATTCTTCCTAATTATTATCTTTCCCTATCTAATTGACGGATGGAGATGAATTACACTGGTGGCGGTATTGTACTCAAGTTAGTTTCGCTAAATAGTACATGTCAGTATATTGATTCAAAATATTTCAGTATTTTCTATCTAATGTAATGGCTAAATTCATTTTCGCTTTAACTGGAAAGGTTGTTCCATCTCTAATTTAAATGATTCAAATATTTTACACTACTGTTTATGTTAGGTTTTCGGAGGTATTCTGAAAAATCCCTGAACTAAGACTTTGTAGCAGTCACATTGAAATTATTTTCTTTCCTGCCTGAAATTCATTGAAACAACACTGACTGTTACTACACCCACGAATCTAATAATAAACTTCTAATTGACTGAAATGTGAGTGACCCACAAATTAATTTCCTCTAATCCCGTATAACGCTTCATCATGGTTACTTTTTGGTAATAATATAAGCATGCTATTCTATTACACGAAAAATCAGTCATCTGGTCAAAGGTTCATTTGATTTAAAATCACTCAGAGGCTTCAACTAGTAATTAGATCTCGTAACTAACCATCACTAGGAGACATTGTATCATTGTATATTATCAATCAATGAATATTACTTCTCTTCATTTTAGTAATTAAAATGTCATTCCTCTATGACGCTGATATAAATAACACATTATGCTTAATTAATCAAATTAGGATTCAGTGACTGATTAGGAAAGTGCCTCCTTTTTGGATCCTGTTGTAATTTTCTTGAAAATTATTGTTGATACTTGTTTTTAAATTTTAGTAACATATTTATGGTAATTTTTTATTTCAGGTTAACCAATATAAAATTATTTAATTGAAAGTTTGGCATCCACAAAGAGGTATGTTAATTATCTGCTGAAATATTCAATACGATATATCATCTGTGACACAAATGACTTAGAAAAATCTATATTATCAAATGAGATATTGATGTTAGTAAGTCAGTCTCTATAACCAATGTTATTTCCTGGTGAAGTTTTATTTATTAGTAACTTCTGAGAACAATTAATGGACTAATATTATATATACTGATTGTATAACTGTTCGGTAGCTAGATTATGTATATTTATATTCCTCTTATTATAAGCTTCATTTTGACCCATAAACTATTATGATACGATTAACTGTTCTTAAGTTAAGTTAAGACATCTATTTGAAGTTTGTGCTGATGATGTCGTTCAGAAGAACGGTGAAAGATCCACGACCAAACCATCCAGCTCAGAGAACAAAACTTCACCGAAATTAAGTTATGTTCAGTTTATTAATTACCGTCTCCCACAATCACAGCCACTTTTTGGTCTGATTTTGTGGTGTGTTGTTTTCTGTTTGGCTCGTTTATAAACCAAGTATGTTTGAAATAAATGATTCGTATAATGGGAGCTGGTAGTGGTGTTCTGGACTGAACTGGCAGGGCTAAGCGGAAAAAGATCACTAAAGACGCTAGGCTGTATATACCGGTCGATACGTCATTGGAGTGGCGCAGTACTGAGATTATATAAGTCGTGTTCCGATTGGCAAATAAGTTAAATGATAATTTTGCCGAGCTAAAAGTCACAACAGCCAAATAACCAACTCTCAAATGGTCCTAACTTTTGTATATGAAAAGTATAGATATGTCTATTTCTGTACATAATTTCTTACTGTTTTGACATACCTGAACATTTTTTCTCTTACAGTATTTAGTTTTCCGAAGTAAATAATTAGATCTTAAACATACCTGCAACTGTGCAACTAAGACGGTTTTTTCACTGAATTTCAGTTAGTTGAAATCTGTGATATTGATTCAGTACTCCGAAAAGAGTTTTGCATTGAGTGTATGTGGCAAGTTGAAATAATTATATCGATTTAAATTTCTAAGCTTACGGCTAAATGACAGATGGGCGAGACTATAATCTATGAACCAGCGTATGAAATTAAATATAGTACATGTTGGCTTTTTGCGCGAGATGTATTTGTCCATATGAATTAATAGAATTTTCACATTATGTTTTATGCCATTTCGTGGTGAAAACCCTAATTAGCTAACTCGAAACCTTAATTCCTCCCACGAATTTATAACCATCTTCTAACCTTAGCAATTAGGTGGGTATTCTCAAGGTCACTTTAGCATCGCTCAAATGTCATCTATAAATTATAGTCTCACCATAAGATCTGGTTTTCCATTTCAATTCCTTTTATCTGAACAGTCTAAAAATGGTAGTTCACTGGGTTCACTTTTGAAAATAATTTTCATGTGAACTGGGAATATATTTATCGATTTAGAAAGCTCCATCCAAAAATTCTCTTTGGTTCTAGACTGTTTTAGACGGGTGTCAAAGATTACGTTAATTAAAGAAAAACAAAACTGTTATCGCCATCTTATAATTTAATAATTTTCCTGCATATATTATTCACAATATACAAAAAAGTGTTCTTTAGTTTAATAGTAATAAATGGAATAAACTATCATAAGTCGGTATCTTGATTATTTCACAGCGTCATGGCGCGACAGAAAAACCAAAAAAGAATTCTAAGATTAAACAATGAAAAATTTCCATAAAATAAAGAACACTTCAAGATGCTTGAATTTGAATAAAAGTTGAAATCTGTTATCATTTATGCCCTGTCAGCACGGAATCGAAAAGCTCGTTTGGCTTTTGCCAACTTACGTCACCTTTGGCGAAGGCGAGATATCCGTCTATCAATAAAGGACGAGTATACTGCGCGGCAGTCCGTTATGTCTTACTTTACGGCAGCGAAACATGGCCTTTAAGAGTAGAAGACACCCGTAAGCTACTAGTATTTGACCACAGATGCCTTAGAAATATTGCTGGCGTCTGTTGGGATCACCGGGTAAGTAATAGTGAGGTTAGACGCAGGGTATTAGGTAATGATGGTAAATCAGTTGATGAGGTTGTTAATCTTCACCGACTGAGATGGTTGGGCCACGTGTTATGTATGCCTGAACACCGATTACCAAGACGTGCAATGCTATCCGGTATTGGAAATGGTTGGAAGAAAGTTAGGGGCGGCCGAACCAAAACGTGGCATCAGTGCTTGAAGACACTAACTTCTAGTCTGAGCCATGTTGGTAGATGCAGACTACTTGGTTGGGGTCCGCGTGACTTTCGTAACCGATGGTTGGAGACTCTTGGTGACATGGCTCAGAATCGATCACAATGGTGTCGGTGTATACACTCCCTGTCTTCCCTTAAACTAAGAGATTAAAATCGCTTCATATCTTTCTTTCTACGAACCAATTCTTTCTTCTTGTACTATATCTCTATATGCAATCTTTCTCTTATATATTACCACCTTTTACCTAACCACTGTTATGAATCCGGTGTTCATCTTGTTGTGCTGATGCGGTATGGCAACCTGGACCGATGCACATATGTGTCTGGTCCTACATTGTAGCTAACTGACTGAGTGACCTGTCAGTTACCACGTGACAAAATCGCCAATCAAAACGAACTTCTATAAGTATCATTGCCAAGGTTTGACTTGATAATTTTGAATAAATTGAGCATTGGGTAGATTGTTATAAATAAATGATATATTTGTAATATGTCAATGAGTATAGAAAAATTAGATTTTCTGACGTTTTGTGACTTTGTGTAAGCCACTTCATAGAATAAATAAATAACCGAATCAAAATTAATCCAAGTTTAAATAGTACGAACGGAACAACAAGGATATTATGTGATCAATCAGAAAATAGTTTTATGACCTTATCTCTGTGTTGAACCAATGACACGTCAACCAGCACCAGCGGTCTTGAGTCAACTCGGAATTCTTTTCAATCTTCGATGTAATAGCCTTGGCTGTCGAGTCCAGAACACAATATTCGCCACTACTGTATGAATAATAAGTTTCAGACAAACGTAGTTTATATACAAGCAGACGAGACCGCATCGCACTATAAAATGAAAAATAAGTTATACAAGATCAAGCTAAAAGTGGCTGTGAGTATACGAGACTGTAAGTAATAGATTGGAAATAAATTTAGAATGGTAAATTGTATAACAATCGCCAATAGGTGAAATGAAAGCTTATGATAAAAGAAATAAATATGTATGACCTTGTTACGTAATAGCTACACAGTATGAATATATATATATATAGTGACATTCTATTAATAATCTTCGGATGCATCGAGATCCCTATTACTCCAATACAGACTACGATTTATAGATTGTGATCCATTCTATATTGAAGAGTCGTCTCATAAAGTTGTGAATTGTGCCAAAGAACATGTAAGCTCCACGAAAGGACCTCCAAGTAATACTGTAAATATGAGAAATCAAATTAGCAATAGCAGTATATGTTATTTTTAACAACCATAAAATTAACATTAATAATATCAAAATAATTCGAAAAGATTTTCCAATTATTAAGAAACAGAAATGCCTGAAGTCTTCCATACCTAGTAAACCGTAATTCACTTCATACAAAAGAAGGCCTAACAATCCATTTAGCATAGATCATTTATTCGAATAAATCCACACATTTATGTTTAGACTTCACACCAGTAACAAACATACATATGTTCCTAACCTTTCTACATTAAAAATCTTGCAATTATCTTTCCAACAAATTCACACCTAGGTCACCTACAAAATAAAAGCGATTTGACTGAAGTGACAGTATGAATGTGATCAGACCTATTTTAATTTTGATCAAACTAAGCAAACATTCTCCATTATGTACTTTGTACTATTTAAAATTGTGTTAGTTTACTTTAAAATATTGAGATTTCCCATATTGTGGATTACAACCGCATATGTATAAACAAACCATGAGGACATAATTGTAAACAACTTGTTTATTTTTTCTCTAAAGTGGCTCACACTAGGTCTCGAAACGTCAAAAATCTAATTTTCTTCTCATTAGGACAAATATACTTTTTCTGTTATGTATTACGTGAGTCTAACCGTCTGGGTACCTCAATGACCAATGTTTGGTAACGCAGTAAAAAGGTTATTTTATTATTTATGTCAACACATAGATAATGGTACAAAGAGGCACCAAATACATATGCTCCACACAAATCTCATTCGATATGTGTGTGAGGGCTGTGATACTGCCCGGGTGCTCAAACCGAAACAGGTGGTTTTCTTAGGGGGCCACACCCGGAGCCTTCGACCTGAAGGTCTGATCCACAAGGCAGTGGAGCATCGTAAGGAGATGCAGTCCCATGGAAGCCGGTGACCAATAATTAATTCATTCGCCATTTGTTCCCGCAGGATATTGGAGCCCATGTGCACCAATGGTTTGGAATCCGGTTAAAGCACCGGACATTCGCTTTTCGTCCTCTCATTTTCGTAAACAACATCCCCGCCACGAGAAGGCAGTGAGTAAGACTTCCCTGGCAGAGGCTATATACGCGTGGCCGTGTGAGAGTATTTCGAGAGGGAGAGCGGACTCTCCCCACTCTCGGCCGTACCAGGGCATTTGGGGGCTAGATTTTGATCTAAGTCATATTGATGCAATACTCATTTGTACCTGGTTTACGTTAAAACTTACTAGCTGTTGTCACAAATGTACTGAAACAACAATATGTTTCATTGATTTTAAAATTATTGAAGATCCATAAATTATCGATCTCGTAATATATGTAACGGACCACATAACTATAAGTGTGTATTGTGATAAGCATTGTTTATTTATAACAATTTTAATGTAAATGGGGTTCATATCATTGAGTTATTGCAATGGCGTTATTTAAATCAATTAATTCTCAGAATCTCTTTTGCTTGTATACCTGGTTTTGCAACTCAATATAAATTTTGTTCACCCACATTCACAGATGAAGCCAAGTTTACTAAACTCCATCTTCATATAATCCTCTAGATGTCACATTACCTGCAGCTTTCTTAAGAATCCATAAATCATCGAGTTTGTGTAGAAGCTACATTGACCAGCTATTGAATTGTAAGTTTGGTTGAAAATAGCTATACCCTCACTTAAATCTTCCCTTGGAAATGTAATATTCCAACCTTCAGCCCTGAATTTTTTCACGTTCGTTTTCTAATTTATGTATAATTATTGAGTTTTGTACTTCATTGGTAAATTTACTAGAATTCCAAGTAAAAATTTATTGACCGTTCTCATTTCTAATTATTTTTACGTAATACTCTTTTCCGGCTTTTTTCTGAACTCTAGTACATGTTATAATATCGTAATATTTTATTTTACTATATTCATCTACACACCGGTCATACATTTTATTGTTTACAATCTTATCATATCTAAAGCGTTTAAATATGTTTTATAATACTCTTCTCCATTGTATAAATATTTCAAAAATGTAGGTCATTCGTGGTTTGAATGGCTGAATAAGTTAAGATGCTGGTTGGTACGAGATCAGTCAGTCAGCTACAATGTAGGACCAGGCACATATGTGCATCTGTCCAGGTTGCCATACCGCATCAGCACAACAAGATGAACACCGGATTCATAACAGTGGTTAGGTAAAAGGTGGTAATATATAAGAGAAAGATTGCATATAGAGATATAGTACAAGAAGAAAGAATTGGTTCGTAGAAAGAAAGATATGAAGCGATTTTAATCTCTTAGTTTAAGGGAAGACAGGGAGTGTATACACCGACACCATTGTGATCGATTCTGAGCCATGTCACCAAGAGTCTCCAACCATCGGTTACGAAAGTCACGCGGACCCCAACCAAGTAGTCTGCATCTACCAACATGGCTCAGACTAGAAGTTAGTGTCTTCAAGCACTGATGCCACGTTTTGGTTCGGCCGCCCCTAACTTTCTTCCAACCATTTCCAATACCGGATAGCATTGCACGTCTTGGTAATCGGTGTTCAGGCATACATAACACGTGGCCCAACCATCTCAGTCGGTGAAGATTAACAACCTCATCAACTGATTTACCATCATTACCTAATACCCTGCGTCTAACCTCACTATTACTTACCCGGTGATCCCAACAGACGCCAGCAATATTTCTAAGGCATCTGTGGTCAAATACTAGTAGCTTACGGGTGTCTTCTACTCTTAAAGGCCATGTTTCGCTGCCGTAAAGTAAGACAGAACGGACTGCCGCGCAGTATACTCGTCCTTTTATTGATAGACGGATATCTCGCCTTCGCCAAAGGTGACGTAAGTTGGCAAAAGCCAAACGAGCTTTTCGAATCCGCGCTGAGATTTCGTCCGATACCAGCCCATTAGGGCTGATCAGACTTCCAAGATAAGTGAAGTTGTCGACGCATTCGACCACTTCACTCCCTATCCCTTAGTTCAGGTGTTGACGAAGACCAGTCCTGATGCAACAACTTGCATTTAGAGGGAGAGAAGCGCATTCCAAACATTCTGGCATTGTTGCTTAGTGCTACCAAAAGACTCTGCATTTTATCAGCGTGAGCAGCCTTGACGGACACCACTTGAGGTTGCAAAAGTAGATGACAGTTCGCCATAAGCTCTGACTCGACTAGTAGTGTTCGAGTAAAGAGCCTTCACAAGGTTTATTTACTTCTGGGGTACGCCTTTCAATGACAGACACTGCCACAGAATCTCGCGGTCTACCGAGTCAAATGCTGCTTTTAAGTCAAGAAAGACCACCATTGTCGGACGCCGATAAGCATGCCTGTGTTCTAGAACCTGACGAATGGTGAATATGTGGTCGATGCAGCCACGACCAGGTCTGAAGCCAGCTTGATTCTCTCGTGTTTGCAGTTCACGAGTCTTAGTTAGGCGTCTGATTATTATTAAGGCTAGTATTTTAGATACTATATTTGTTAAACTAATCCCTCTGTAGTTGTCACAAGATGATTTTGATCCTTACTTATATATTGGGACGATAAGTGATTGCGACCAGTCAGATGGAATAACATCTAACTCCCAGATTTTAGCTAAAATATTAGTCAACCTAATTGCTAAGATCGGACCATCATCCTTAAAGATCTCTGGAGCCAATCCATCTGGACCAGCTGCCCTTTCTCGTTTCAGATTAACTATAGCCTTTTGAACTTCTGCTAGAGTTGGGGGACCTTCTTCAATGTTCCATTCACACTGTCTGGGAATGGATGGTAGTTGTAGAGTCGCTGAAGGCCAGCTGAAGTGTTCCGCCCATCGTTCTAAACGTCTGCACTGGGAGTAGATGAGAGTATCGTCTTTTTCCGAAATAATCTCACTTACACTTGACTTATTAGTTCCAGTTTCTTTTATTAGTCTGTAGAGCTGTCTTGTGTTCCCTATAGCCGCCGCCTTTTCCATCTCTTTTGCTTTCGTTGCCCACCACTGCTCACGGTCGTTCCTTAGACATTTGCTTAACCTAGATCTGATTTGTTGTCGCTCTTCATCGTGATCAGAGCCTGATGGAATGAGTTTATGAGAACCCATCAGTGCAATAGACCTTGAAGAAATCCATTGATTATTTGTAACTTTGTGGTTTAAATCACTGATAGATTTCAATGCTGTTTGTATATCTTTCCGAGCAACATCTGGGTCAACCTCGTTTTCAGAACTACCTAAGTGTGACCTCAGTTGTTCCTGGAACCTACTTTTGGTTTTCTCGCTACTCAATCCAGTTCTAATGGGTCTTTTTACTGAGGCTTTTTTGCGTCCAGTGAGGAGCAAGCAGATGCGTGCCCGTATTAGGGCATGGTCGGAGTCCAAGCAGGTACTCCAGAATGAGCGACAATCTTCTACCGATCCTCTCCAACGATGACTGATGTTAATATGGTCTATTTGAGTCCATCGTTGGCTTGGTGCAGGGGGTCGTCATGCTAGACGATGTCTTTCCTTATGCTTAAAATTAGTGTTTGCTAAAAATAAACGATTGTCTGAGCACAGTTGCAATAGACGATCACCATTATCTCTTCGTTGTGCCGGTATACTAAAATACCCACCTAAATGCCTTTCTGTTTGGTTTAAGCTACCTACATGGGCATTAAAGTCACCTGCTACGAGTACTACTATCTAGACTCCGATCATGCCCTGGTCAGCGCCTGCTACGAGTACTATGTCTGAACGTATAGCTTTCTGAAGAAGTTCAGATAGCTTTCTGTAAAATTCATCCTTCACTTCATCTGAGCTACAGTCGGTGGGAGCGTAGGCAGAAACGACAAAAAGGCAACGACATGTGTCCCTATCCTTCCGAGTTCTTACGGAGCCGGACAGCACATAGACGACTGTTGACGGGGATCCACTCTAGTAGTGCTTGTTCGGCCCTCACCTGCCAGTCAACGAGAGCTGGTCATCGGGTCACCAGATACACGGAGGGTGTATCTCGTTGGCTCTCCGTTTTGCCCAGGTGAGGTCAAGTGAATGACCACACTGGGATCCTGTATGCGTGTTTCGGAGACACGGCACACATCAATGGTACTTGTTGAGACCTTACCGCCGGAGACGGATATCCGTGGGATAAGGCGAGGTGTGCGTTTTTAGGGTCGACCTTTTCTAACCCCACCCCTCCTTGTGGGAAGGCAGCATCGCTGTCATGCTGGTTGTCTGAAGGAAACACCTTACTGCTATCACACCTCTGTACAGTCAGCAGTACGACTTCGCCTTCGGACCTTGGGTTTGTTGCTTTTAGTCTTACCGCTCTTCAACCGACCTTTCTGACGTTTTAGGACCTTGAGGAGCAGTTGTTCCAGTCAGTATAGCTCGGTTGCTTCATCACGATAGGCAGGCCCGACCACCACGTCAAGGTAGCAACAACGGTCGGTACGAGATCAAATACCATGGTAATCATAGATTTCCTCAACATCCCACATTTAATTTCTGCAACAAACTTGATATATACATAGATAAGGTAAGCTCATTGGGATATAACAAAAATATAATTATTTTTTGTGAACCATTAAGATCACCGACAAGGAGCTCAGTTAAAATACCATTTATTTAGGGAAAATGCATCTTACCAAACTTTCTATGGTGCTTCGTATTTATCTTTATATTGTAACGATGCGAGCAGACAAAATCAGGACTGTAATATTCATTGTAGTTGGTTGTAAACTTATTGACGACACCAGTCATATAATTGTTTCCTTGTCACAGAACGTGATAAGGCTTTGTTTACTCATTGAGCATATCCACTTTCTTATCTATTTCTAGAGAAATAACCACCGGAATTTCCTCGTCAAACCTTTTATGGCTAATCATGTATGATTAAATATCTGATGTTTGCATAGCTGATATCTACCATAGAACGAAATCGTTAAACAGACCTCTCAGTAAATCCGGACGAGTCCTGCTATATAACCGGAGGAAACTCGTTGGACTATATTCTGATGCTAAATCAATCAGTACCAGCCGCCTAATCGCAGTTTCAGTGTGATTCTTTGTTTCTAGATGTATATTGGGTTGCATGTTTCGCAAATATTAATTATTCTTAATGAACGCCTGGGTCCCGACCTTATATACCATGGCTCAATGGATAGACGTCTCTTCGAGGCTTCTGAAACGATAACAGACGACGTCTTTTTTTGACAGAGTATTTACTCTTTTCTACTAACATAGCTACTGTGCTTCTGGAATTTTCTGAACAAGGTTGTGCCAAGTGGCATAAACGCACACGATTTCCTGTACATACCTGAAATTTGAGTAAAGCATTTCCCTACTTCACGCCTTTTCTCTTGTATTGTCACGTAGATTTAATCTGAAATCACTAAAGGCGGCTAGGAAATCGGATCAATTGGTAGACTTATCAGATTTATTTTCAGAGTTCTTGTTGTCTTTCCAGACAACGTTACGTATTTAGGGTAGAAGCTGTTGCAAGTTTCAACATTTGGATTCGCGTTTGTTCATGAGTTTAAAACTATGTGGACAGTTGGTTTTCTAAAAACAGTTAGCAGATAGTTTTCTTAGTGGTAGGCCCGTCAAAGTTTTTCTTCGCAAACTACGGTGGAGGTTGTGCATATTTGTAAATTGTTGCTAGTGCAGTTAATAAGTTGGCCTTTATGAACCGGTTACCAGCACAATTGAGTCTTTAGTTCATGATTTTGTTGATGAACACACACATGGGTTTTTTTTCTTCGTTTTGCAGTATGGAGTTCATGTAATTGAATATTTTCCGTTATCCCGTATTTGCTACGATACTAGAAATCGGTATTCTCTTCTCTGTATTTTATCAGTGAATTAAAAATATTTCTTTGGTCAGCGAGTTCTTTTAAACAAAGTTTATGTCTGTTGAAACATTTGCTTTGCTGGATAAGCGCAAGGATATTTCATCGTTCCCCACCTTTGATTTACTAAAGGTGGAAACGTACTCATTGTTGATCTGAATGTCCTATTTGTTATCTGTGGGAGGTAAGGCCAAGTGATTGCCTGGATCCACTAAGGTGTACAGCCAGTGCGATGATTGGTCGCATTTAAATGTCTATTTTGTGTATTTTTGACCAAACACAATCAACGTTTAGTCAATTGGATTTTTCTGATGTTGGTTTCCCGTTGGTACTCAAGCTGTTTAGATGGGCTTTCTAAAAAACATTCAAGTTTTTGAGTAGATTAGTCCATCTGTCAGGATTTGTTTTACTGTTCGTAATGCGAGCCTAGAAATCCTGTCAAATTTGTCATTTGGTTTGTAAATGAGTTAAAATAAGTGTTAATCAGATTTTCTTTAGCAAATCTGCAGTATGTTCGAAGCTCCAGAGATGTTATCTTGAATGAATATGTACGATAACCAAGAGGTTGTTGATATATAGGATGGAAAACTGTAAAGAACTTATTATTTCTCAACATGAAAGTCACATTGTTCATATTATCAATTTAAATAGTGTCCGGACTAATCACTTCATAATTTATAAATTTTTTATTCATGAATTCGACACATTCACTTAGGAATCCTGAAATGTGAGAAAACCCTTTATTCAGTCTCATCAACGAGAAATATTTCGATATAAACGCGTTATCATATTTACCCATTGTTTGTCTCAGTGGTATGGATCTAAGTAATACAGATTAAAAGTGCGCTGCTATTTAGTAGTTGGTGAGTAAACGACTTCCTACCAGTTTGTTTGAAATTACGGCTGTGACTTTAAACCTGATAAACTGTTAAGTGGATTTTATAGATAAGATATTTTTGCTATTGAAGGACCAGAAATCACATTTAAATGTCGTATGGCGCCTAAGCCTGTTTCTTTACACCTTTTTACTTGCAAGTACAACTAATCCCAGTAGTTGGAAATAATATCATCCATAGTAACCAACTGCCAATGGAACACTAGGTTAGGGTTCGTCAACAAATTAAGAAGCACTACACTTATTCTGACATATTTTATTGATCTTCATTAAAATAAAAACTCGAATTGATGAACAACTGTTTTGTCATACATACAAATTAATATTTCTATTATATAAAAATTTTCGTTGACAATCTATTCATGGCATCAAGCCTGTTGTTTTAATTCTTTGACTTCATTTTTTCGCCAGCAGACGGAAGTGATTGTTGTGTGTTGAAATCGATGAATGTTAATGGTTCTTGCAAATTGTTAAACTGTCCGTTTTATGATTTCCTAATGAATTTTCGTAAAGCAATTTAAAAAATAACAAGATCGTTGTTTATTTTAGAGAAAGTGAATTTCCATAAGATTTTGTGTTTGTATCTAAATACGCTTACATACATTGAAGCCACAGTGAATAGTGATGACAAGAATATCATACAAGAAAGACGGCGTAGACCAGCAGAAATATAGTGCATTATAAATAGGATCGGATGATCAGGTCATTTTGAATGTTCATGAAAGATGAAATGGTGTATAAACTTATTTCTTCTGTGCAGCTACATTCTTAGATCGTATATTAAGGTCATTTCTTCGGTATCTCCCAGCATATGTTAACTAAAGAAAAGTCTATGTGTTACATATAAAATAAGTGAGCAAATTATCTTGAGTACATATTTTTTTATTTTCCTCCAGTATAGCAATCTGGAAGGGATGGGACTAATTTTTCTGTGCTGGAAATACGGTCAGATAAACTCCGATTTGAAAAATCTTAGTTTGACGGCAAAAACAAATTTTAGACGTTGGATTTTTATTTCTACTGATTCAACTTACACTGATAACTGGATAGTTTTCTCTGACAGTTGAATATTTGGATCGACGGTTAATGAATCTTGCGGTTCAGAAGTTATTATCAGTTCATCACACGGAATGCATAACTAGAAATGAAAATCAGTATAATTGATTATTTTCTTTATAGCAACGAATAAAACGTAACACCAAAAATTGATTGTTTTCTGTACAGTTCTTTTTTGAACTAGTTTTCGGCAACGTTACACAGGCGTTTGAATCGTTTAATAATCCAGTTGAATGTAATCGACTAACCTGTGAATAACTGATATACGATTCCTTAGAACATTGCGCAGTGTAGTGCAGCTTTATAAAAGCTAATCTGCTGGACATATTTTGAAAAGTTTTAATGCGAGCTGCTATCTGATAAAGTCATAGACAGGATAAAAAACCGATTCATGCAAATGAGAACACGACATATAAGCAGATAATAGTGCTTTCAATCTTCATCAACCTTTCGTCTAATATACAGTAATGTTTACATAAATATGTAGAGAATGTTAGACCAATAATTAAGGCAAATTGTGAGATAATGGTAACAATACGGTAGATTGCGTAAGTAATCATATTAACTAATGTGTACATATCGATAGTAATAGTAAATATAAGAATTAAAATATTTCAGCTTAGAAATCAAGCTTAAACCTGGAGAAATAAATTTACCAAAATGTTGACCGTGAAAAAGATCGTATGGTAAAAAGTGTGCTCTGTAATCATCATTTTCAATGCACAAGTAATGATATTTTTTTAAAGTAGGATTATTATTTTTCGTTGACCAAGGAAGGTACGACGACATTCTATTAACATGCAAGGGCCTTTGTAGGCATCAATACAATACAGATATTGCGCACATAGGTCTTTTGTCAACCGTACCACAGAAACAACTGGAGCTGTATATCGGGTTTCGAAAAATTGTCTATGATTGGATGGGGTGTTTAAAGGAAAGATCCTCAGGAGTCACATATATGAGTTTCGTTATCAAATATACTGCGACTTCGAATCACGCAACCGAAATATTAACCTGGGCAATTTCATTGTTTATGGAGAAACAGAAATATTTTTTATTTTCAATTATTAATGTACTATAAGTCATTTACTCATTAGTCTTTTGATTGGCTACAAACTGTAAAAAGCCGCTGTGCATTATTTAAGCAGTAGTTCAAGTATCTTTGACAGACAATCTTTCCATGGCCGTAAATGACTTTTTAAGAAACCTCATGTTTTCCATGTTATTGAAAATCAATTGATGTCTGCGCAAAATATCACCATGATTGTATCGACAACACTTGTGTACTCATCAGTCATCTGTATAGGTGTCAGTTCGTCATGCAACGTAATTCTGAATTATAAGAAAAAGTGCTAAGGTATTGTGACTAGGAACGGTTTCAAAATGCTCTTTTTGAATATACTTATTCTGTATACCGAAAATTGGCTTTTTGTGGTCTCGGTTCCCCTGATGATTTCTTTACTGTACTCTATTTTCTGAACATATTTCAACGCTTTCTATACCAATAAAAGATGTTGGTAACTTAATCAATATTTCAGAGCAGACTTCTCTACATCGGTAAAATCAGTATACTTCCACAATTTAGAACATTACACGTAAAAAAAAAGTTTGTTCAGTCTCAACTAAGAATGGAAAATAGCTGGTTACTGATTAATGTGCTTGTTCTAACATCAATTAAGCTGAAGCAGCATTATTTCACGCCGTTTTTTTCGCAAGCATTGTGTAGTTCGAAACTGCAGATGTTTTTCGACGATTCAATGGGCTGTAAATAGCATACAATTTTTCTCTTATTTAAATCAAATAGGAATCGAACTTTAGTGACTAATCTCCTTGAATTTATGTGCCTTGAAATTTGAACCAACGACCTTAATGCGATTTCATTGCCATGATCTTGAGTGTTGCTTCACATTTGATCTCTCTTTAATGTTCTTAATGACACTATATTTTTAACTTATTCAGTCTTACATGGAGTCAATTAATAAATAAACAAACTCCACTAGTCAGTAAGATCCATATCCAGTCGTTTGAACATACATTCATAAAAAAGCAACTAATTTGAATTATGTCAGTATAATTTCGTGAAATTACTTGTTAAATAATCGATAGAATCTCTCGTTATTCGAAGCAAAAAAGCGCACCACCATAACGTAAGACAAAAAAGATTTACATATATTTCAAAATATTATAAAGCGAGGTTAATTAATAAAACAAGCAATAATATTTCAAAACGGAATCTGATAACCTACTTCAATCTTTCCCGATGGATGAAACGTAATGTAATAAACGATCATCATCACTATGCCCATACAAAAACTGCACATCACAATAAGAAGAAGAGTGTATGGAGGTAAAACGGTATTCCACGTGGATGGTTGATTTTTGAACACACTTTTTGGAAGACTTGCAATAATAAATGAATGTGTTACCCACCATAATGATGCACATACCGAGTTTTCAATGCCAAATATTAAGTAACATGATCCATACCACATTCGACTTCGTCCTTCACGAATATTGACCACATCAAAACAATAAACTGCACCTAGTACAAAATCAAAGGTTAGTTCTCCTAACGCTCGTGAATTAGATGAACAAAACGTCGTCCCGCGAGTGATTAACCAACCAGAAGCCAACAACCAATGAACACCGAGCGCTATTACAAACCAAAATCCCCTGACAACAGAGGCAAGTATACCCAGAGCTAGTAATCGTGATGCTAGCACTCCAGCCTTCCAGAAAAAGAAGAATATAATACCTAATGTCTGGATATTTCCTTTTTCAATACGTGAACTACGTAGAGCAGTTTGGTAGTAGGTTAACGACCACGCCAATGAAAGCCATGAAAACACACATGAAACAAATTGTGCAGTCACTAAATGTCAAAATATGGGGGAAAAGATAAATTAAAGTTCAAAAACAATAAAGAAGATTTTGATAAAACCAAATAGTTATAAAGGATAGTTGATAAAAGATATTACGAAATGTTCTTAAGTCAATCCGTAGCATTACTTAACTGTTCACGCGTTGCCCACAAATAGTAGCTTTCTAGTTCCTTTAAAAAAAGTAGTTGGTCAAACATTCTTACCAGTAAAATCCACAGCCACATAATTCTTCGCACGGCGGTTCAGAAAAATAGTGGCCTTTTGGTGAAGGCTTATCAGAAATTTAAATAACATACATTCTTTCATAGACGAATGGCTAAATTTGCTAATGTATTAAAGGAACAAATGAGTGTTCAGCAACGATAACTAACGGATTCTCAATTACAATCTCGAATGTTAGAAAACTGAACAAATAAGAAACAAACTAAACGAAAATGAAAATTAGTTGGAAAAATTGTAAAACCACTTGAGGTTCCTTAAGAGTAATAGGTGAAACTGTTTCATTGCAAACGGTAACCAATTCATTGGGCTTTTTAATAATTACCATCACATACAAACAGAGATATCAATGAAAAACTTTGCATTAAAAAATAACTATTCTTAAGTCGTGCCAACCCGCAACAAAACAGAAAGAAAAAACTTATCAGAAATGTAAAAAAAACCGAAACAAGACGGTCTGAATAAATAACAATTTTGAAGATTTCCAACATTCATTAGATAGAGGTGATTACATTTTACTAATTTTTAATCGTCACGAAAGTTATTTACCCAGTATGCATCAAATCATAAGTTAGTCAACATTTATGTACTTACCATATTCACCTAAGTTGAATCATTTACCAAGTGAAGATTTGTGTACTCGACTTTGGACTACACTTTATGTATGAAGGTTAATGATTCTATCTGGCTGCCTAAAGTAAGTAAAGCGAGGGTCGAAAAAGCGACCAAGTGCTTGGAATTTGCATGTCAACCAATAAGTCACCTCTTCATATTGAAGTGAAGAAGAACAAAGGTGAGGACAACCGAATTTATTTGAACACGAAATTACAGAATATCTCACTAAAATCTGAGAACCATACAGGAAATATTTAATTTGCAAAATATCAATCCATTGTCTCAAACTCGACTGTTTCTTTTGTGAATATCACTCCGTCGTCTCAGATTTCGTTGTTTTTGCATTTTCATACCAATTGCTTTCCGATCTCGTTCTTCTCATCTCGATCTTCTACTGAAATACATTCTATTCCCGCCTATTGTTATATACTACTTATATGTATTGTTGGGGACGATAGATCCCCAAACTCATATTTTTAAATTTTATCTAATCGATCAACTTATCGATTAAATGTATAAATATTCTTATTGGGGTCAATTGATGAACTGATCGATTAAATGTTTGAATAGCAGTCAGTTGATGAACCTATCAATTAGATGTGCAAATAGGTCAATTGATGAACTATCGATTAAATGTGCAAACAGGTCAATTTATGAACTCATTGATTAGTGTTTAAGAATTTTCTATGACAATATTGATTGTAAATATTTGTATAAATACGCTTGAGTTGTGTTTGAATTGACTTGTTATCTGCTGTGTGTTTGCAGAATACACTCCTACACCTTACCCAGATTTCTTGATCGAGTTAGCAGAGTTGAGGACAACGAACCAGAATAGCTATCGAGTCACTGATCCTTCGTTCCATTGTGTAAGACGCACCAGTAATAGCATTCAAGCGAATAACGAACCATAACATGTATATAAGTAGCGCACACCACAATATGACAATGACGTCGATCCCTTGCCTGTTTCACAACAGCCAAGCAGTATCGTTTAGATACCTACGAATGAATGTTTAAAATTTACGCACATTTCCTACTTATAATGGCTAAGACTCATCCAGAAATTGTTCCAAATAAAAATCAAGGAAATACGATACGATAAACATTATAAACAAATGCAAGGAACGCACTTGGAAGTTTGTATAACGTAACTCACACATGATAAAAGAAACGAGTGTTGATAATTTTTGAGTCTATGAAAATGGGTTTAACGAAACTTTCAAGGCGAAATGGAATTTGAAGTAGTTTAACCCGACTTTAAAAATTCACATAACTGCTGATGAAAGACTATTCTCTCGAAGCCTAAAGAACATTCTATTATCGAATAATACAATTATTCATTGAACTATGAAACGATTTAAGTTAGACCAACATGGTAAACCTGAAAGCAGTGGACGGCCATTACACCCAAGTGTGTCTGTTCTTCTTTGCGATTTATTTATTTCAACACATAGATAATGGTACAAAGAGGCACCAAATACATATGCGCCACACAAATCTCATTCGATATGTGTGAGGGCTGTGATACTGCCCGGGTGCCCAAACCGAAGCAGGTGGTTTTCTTAGGGGGCCACACCCCGACCCTTCGACCTGAGGGTCTGATCCACAAGGCAGTGGAGCATCGTAAGGAGATGCAGTCCCATGGAAGCCGGTGACCAACAATTGGTTCATTCGCCATTTGTTCCCGCAGGATACTGGAGCCCATGTGCACCATTGGTTTGGAATCCGGTTAAAGCGCCGGACATTCGCTTTTCGTCCTCTCATTTTCGTAAACAACACCCCCGCCACGAGAAGGCAGTGAGTAGGACTTCCCTGGCAGAGGCTATATACGCGTGGCCGTGTGAGAGTATTTCGAGGGGGAGAGCGGACTCTCCCCACTCTCGGCCGTACCAGGGCATTTGGGGGCTTTGCGATAGTCACAAATAATATAAGAAATATGGTCTAATGGCAACCATTAAACTGCAAATTAAAACACATTAGTCTTAAACATAAATTCCCATGATTTATTGTCACCTTTAGTTATTATACATAGCGATATAGCAAATGACATAATGAGTAAAATCAAGTGTTTATAAAATATGAATTATGAATGAAAGGCAACATATTCTACATAGTTCCATAAGCAACTAACAGGGTCATAACACAGAAATTTACAAAATATCATTAATATTGGGTTGCGGAGATTGCTAAGTTTAAATTGATATCATAAATGGATGGATGCTAGACCACCACCAGAAAACTGGAAGTATTGGATGGCCATTTCGTCCTAGTATGAGACTCCTCAACAGTGCGCATCTATGACTCCGCACGAGAAACTCGAACCAAGGACCTCGGGTCTCGCGGGCGAACACATAAACTCTAGAACACTTAGCCGGCAATCCAACGGTGTTAATGTCTAAATTCAACCAATACACGATATTGCGCGACCATCCATCATTGTCTTCAGTGAATAACTGTGAGAATGGAGGTCCTGGGTTAAAATCTCGCATGCGGGATCGTGGATGCGCACTGTATAGGAGTCCCATACTAGGACGAAACGGGCCTCCAGTGCTTCCAGGTTTTCGACGGTGATCTAACATTCATCCATTTATGATATCAATTTAAAATATTATTAGCTTCATTATTCTAGGACAGAAACATACTTTGAAATTTAGGTGCAGGATATGATTGCGTTAAAATAATGTACAACTGTAACAGAAGCTGTGGAGCGGATTCAGTGAAACATTCAATCAAACGAAGCATAGCACAATCAGCATCTTCATAAAGCATCAACTGCGTATATTGTGCAGCTACACGAAGACTTAACCCGGGTTGTCGACTTACTATACCGTAGTAGATAGCATCAGCTGCCCTAGAAGTGAAAAAACAAGCATAAAAAGTGGAGATAATCACTGTAATACCCCAAGTTAGTCATATATTGAACTCAACATCAATCTACTTGTTGCTAAACACAGCCCAAGACCCCTCCACCAACAATGACAATATGAACAAAGTCTACAAAAGATGAAAAAATGTACAAGCCCTGGCAACAATACCATAACAACCAAAATGATCAAACATGAGGGTAACAAACTAAACAATGTACTATTAACGAACAAATTTGGAGAAATCACAACATTATGTCAGACCACTGGCTAGATGCAAATGTGATTATTATAAACAGAAATAAAGGACCAAAGACCTATACCAATAACTACCGTTGCACCTCATTGGATACAATAGGAAAGCTATTTGCTGGTATTGTTTGCAACAGGCCATCTCAATTAACGGATAACCGGCTTCCACTTACAGAATTTGGTTTTAGAAAACACTTAGCTACCAAGCATGAAACAAAGACAATTAGACACATTATACAACGTGCCTTAAACACAAATCAAGTGCTAGTACTCACCTTTATCAAACTAAATAAATAATTTAATACTCTTCCTAAATAACAAATCATCGACACACTAGCAAAAACACCCAACAAATAAATTGACATGTATGCTCAAACTATTAGACAAAGGACACATCAAAGACACTTATACTTCAAAAGGCAACGAGTTAGGCGAAGCAATAAATAGATTTAAACTCTCTTTAGACTATTCTTCATACAGATCCTAATTACGACACAGATCAAGCTATACAAAGATAATGCAGTGTACAGTAATTTTAAGAACCATACGATTTTGAATGAACGTTTGTGCATGAAATGCTATACTCCATGGGTGCACTAGTCGATGGTGATTTTCTTAGAGAGCCACTTCTCCAAACTCCGACCCAGACATTTAATCTACAATGAAGTTGAAAAACGTTAGATGCCATCTCGTAGCAGTCGATGACCCTATTTAGTCCTCTTAGGATTCTGGATTTCATCAATCCGCATCATAAGTAGTACTTGAAATAGCGTGTGAAATCGAGCAGTGGATGTTAAGCTGTTGCGTCACAGTCTCCAACAATCGTATTTGTGCATCAAGTTGTGCTTGCTGTTGTTATAGTATTCGGTTGAGCTGGTCACCTGATATTGGCATCTTGAGAGTGCTTTCCTTTTCCTCGTCGCCACTTCTAATCTCTCTTATTACAAACACAGCTACTCCTATTGTTAAGTACTATTGGACACTACTTCACTCTACAAGTCCCAAAATCAGAGCACAGTGGAACAGGAACGTAATTATATTCCAAATAAAATGGTTGGATGGAAGTAGGAATTATAATAAGAGAAACATTAGGATATCTATAGTTTTTAGATCAAGAGATTCTAGAGTTTTCTCTAAGTATCCACTAGCGCTGATTGGATAAAAAATAGCCCATCAGGATGACATAACATAATCCTGCACGGAACGTGCTTTAATTCAATCTATATACAGCTAAAACATTGATTTTAAATCAAGATTTTACAACTTCCCTAAGTGAACCATCTGTACCTACCAACCTGGTTGGAGCACCAGATGTTCACTTTTCATCCCCTCACCTCCACACACAACACCCCCACCACAGGAAAGCAGTGAGTACGCCTTCTATGACAGGGGCTTTGGACGCATGGTTATATGAGAATACTTCGAGAGGAAGAGAGAAATTCTCGTATCAGTGCATTTGGAAGTAGCTAAAAGTAGTGTAAACCAAACCGAAATGACAAATATTTTGACAAAAACAAATACCACCAGAAACTATCTATATCATAGTAGAACTAACAAAAAACCACTAAACAAACTGGCATCGATTTGTCCAGTGTCTCTAAGAATCACTGGTCACCTAATAACTTTCGGTGTCTAACCAAAAAAACAACAGTTCCTGAAAACCTACTAATTTGTGGTCAATTTGTCACTCACTGACACCAGATATGGAACCAATACAAAGCAGGAAGAGTTGAAATTTGTTCTATGCTAGTTTGAAAAACGGCGAAACTGTACGGATTTGAACTTAAGAAGTTCAGCTCTCGTGGGAAACTAATATATGAAACACTGAAATATAACTTAATGGCTTAATTAAACCGTTTTTTGCTGAGACCAAAAGATCATTGATTATATACTAAATGAATTCTAAAATAGGAAGAAGTACTTAGGCTATATTCCTTGATATTCAAAAGTCATTATTTCAGTCTGTGTGTGGCGCATATATATTGGCGCTCTCTTGTACCAATATTCATGTGTCCAAATAATAATAAATATTTCAGTCTGTGATAAAACCATCTTCACGTTGAGCAAATTTCCATGATAAAAATTCTTTAACTATTACGAGAAAGTATACGGAAAATAATAAAGTAATGACAAGAATAGAAATAATAAAAGCCGTAATCCAAATGACAACACAACCACAGTACGTTAAATTTCTGGCATAGTAAATATTACACATCATATGTGTAATTGACAGTTACTTAGATTTTGAGTTACGACTGATAGTTATAGCAGCTCGCTTGCTAGGTCTAAGACAAGAAAGAGCCAACTATCACAATTACTAACTTAGAACGACCACATCACAAACTGACAACAAAAAATAAAGTATTTCCAATACAAACAACTCTAAACTGACATTACTGAATCTCTGGTTCGGAGAATAAATAACCTGAATACAGTGAATAAACCATAGCATCTTTATTCCAATTCTTTAACATTAAAACGTCAGTCTCTGATGGACTCAATCGCTTTATCAAATGAAATACAAACAAGGAAAGTATGGCTCAAAGTAAACGAACCTCACTAGTGGGGCCAACTGGAGTCCATGAAACAATAGTCTAAATGTCCATGCTCGATAGCTACGTGGAGGATCAACTCGAACTTTATAGTCAATGAAATACCACGCAAGACTGAAACTGGACATCAAGAGAGCGGGAACAACCATGAAAATCATTGTTAAACTAGACCAGTAGTAATCTTCCTATATTAATAATTAAAAAACAAAAATTAGATCGAACGTTTATAGAAAATATCTTGTAAATAAATTTTTGAACAAAAGGTTATTTTATATGAATGACTCAGATTCTGATAAAAGGCGCTTCATTATTTAGAAGTTAAAGAAACACTACCAAACGCTATAAATATGAGTATAACATCTGGTAAACTACTAGTAAATTTATGTTCACCAAAAATCTATATCCATACTTTCGCTGATAAGTTTAAAAATACTATTGAATTTGCGTTCACTCATCGAAATAGAATCAATAAAATTGACAACTGACGTCTGTGAAATCCCTGGTCAAAAACCAACCTGTAAGTCAAGTTTGTTTGTAACTGAAACATCAGATATCTCGTTAATCCAAGGAAAAAGCACAACTTATCTCTCCAAAGAAATGTTGATACGTATCAAAGTTTAAAAAGGACCCTTTGTTAACATGAATCACTATAATTAGCACACATAATTCCCTTTCGATTGAAAAGCCACATTGAACTCAGAGTCCCCTAGTGGAAATATTTTAACTCTAATAGGGCTCAGACATCAACCTGGTCGTGTAAAAATGTCTTAAATAAGAAGCAACACTTCAAATGACCTGTAAACCCGGGTACTGAAAATAAGGCTTATCTACGGCAGGTTTATATGGGCTGTCAATAAAAGAGACCTTCCCGTGGTTATAATTGCTATTTAGTAGAAAAAATAAGTGGTTGACTAATTAAAGTTGTAGCGAACGATCACTGCTAACCGTTTGCAAGGTCAAAATATGCAAAGCTTTCAAGCGTCTTCATGTTTATGTCAATTTGGTTATGCGAGGATTGAAGTTAATCACCCAGATTACTTACAACCTTAGAGCATTCGAATTTATAGGAAACACTAAGACGTTTTTGGCCAAATGTATCAATCAGTCATTCTAAACTGTATCCACAGAGTCTACAAACAAGTTATGTTCTGTACTCTAATTTTCCAAGTTTCTACGATATTTTTAATCACACAGTCGATTTTTGATTGCTTACCATGGTCGAGTAATAGAAAAAATTACTTTGCGTAACATTTATGAATATATATATATATATATATATATATATATATATATATATATATATATATATATATATATATATATATATATATATATATATATATATAAATATAAATCAAGATAAAATTTTATGCAATATCTATTCTCTGGTTACCGATATTTTTAAGGTAAACTCACTAGTTTGAGCCTAGCAATCAATTAATAATGAAAAGTCAGCGTGTGGAGATGAAGTTATCAGTAACAATGTTTGTTCTTGCTCTATTCAAATTCATAAAGGGAACCAATTGCATGAAATATCAGTAACAAGTTCAACAGGCAAAAAATCTGGGTAGTAATTCAAAATGACTCACAAACTGTTTAACCTACGAGATTATTATTTTCTTTTAAATTACATACGCCTGTTACCCCTCAGGAAGAAGCATAGGCCACCCACCAGCACTCTGCATCTAACCACGTCCTGGACAATCCTTTCTAGTTGCTGTTCATCCTTTTCATGTCTACTTCTGATCACCGACGTAGTGTGTTCTTCGGCCTTTCACTTCTCCGTTTCCCTTCAGGATTCCAAGTTAGGGCTTGCCTTGCGGTGCAGTTTGGTGATTTTCACAATGTATATCCTGTCCACTTCCAATGTCTTTGCCTTATCTCCTCTCCAGCTGGAAGCTGGTTTCTTTTCTCACATAGTAGGCTGTTGCTTATGGTATCCGGCCAACGGACATTCAGTATCTTACGTAGACAAGTGTTTATGAATACTTGTACCTTTTTGATGATAGTTGTAGTAGTTCTCCAAGTTTCAGCTCCATACAGTAGGACTTTCTTGACGTTCGTATTGAAGATTCTGACTTTGATATTGGTTGACAGTTGTCTTGAGTTCCATATGTACTTCAGTTGTAGGAATGCGGGCCTTGCTTTGCCAATCCTCGCCTTTACTTCTGCACCAGATCCTCCTCGTCCGTGAAAGATTCCACATCTTCCAGAGCTTCTCCATCAAGTGTGATTGGGTTGATGCTCTTCGTATTGTATTTGAGGATCTTGCTTTTTCCTTTGTGTATGTTGAGGCCTACTGATGCAGAGGCGGCTGCTACACTAGTTGGCTTCATCTGCATTTGCTCGTGTGTATGGGATAGAAGTGCCAGGTTATCTGCGAAGTTCGAATCTTCTAATTGGTTCTGAGCTGTCCATTGTGTGCCGTGTTTCCCCTCAGATGTCGAGGTTTTTATAATCCAGTCATTCATCAAAAGGAAGAGAAACGGAAAAAGTAATCAGCGTTGTCTGACTTTCGTCCTTGCTTGGAATGAATCTGTTAGCTGTCCTCCATGCAGCACTTTGCACTGTAATACGTCGTATAAACTCCGTATGATATTGACGATTTTCTCAGGTACACCATAGTGTTGAAGTTTCCATAAGGTTCTCCTCTCCACACTGTCAAACGCCTTCTCATAGTCAATGAAGTTGATGTATAATTACGAGTTCCACTCAACCGATTGTTCGACGATGATTCGTAGCGTGGCAATGTGGTCTGTGCACAACCGATCCTTACGGAATCCAGCCTGTTGATCTCGACGTTGGGCGTTTATTGAGTTTTTTATACGTTTTAGCAACACTCTGTTAAAGACTTTCCCTGGTACTGACACCAGTGTGGTGCCTCTGTAGTTCTCACATTTGCTCAGATCTCTTTTCTTTGGAATCTTGATGAGGTATCCTTGTTCCCAGTCCATCGGAACTTGTTCTTCCCCCCTCCAAATCTTCCTGAATAGAACGTGGCGCATGTTTGAAGTTACTCCAATATCTGACTTTAGCTAATACATTGTCAGGTCCTGTGGCTTTCCCGCTCTAGATTTGTCTGATGGCCATCCTGATTTCTCCGGTTGTTGGTGCAGTGACATCTATATGAAGGTCTGTGTGTGCTGCTTCGATGGAGCTGGTCTATTCAACAGTTTCTTGAAGTATTCCACCCGTCTGTTCCTCTGTTCTTGAATCTCGGTGATTGTCTTGCCTTCTTTGTCTTTGACCGGTCTCTCTGGCTTATCATATTTCTCTGTTAGTTCCTTCGTTGTGTCATATAGCTGTCTCATATTTCCTTCTTTTGCAGCTTTCCCCGCTGTCATTGCTAGCTCTTCCACGTATTTCTGCTTGTCACCTTTAATGCTCTGCTTCACTTGCTTGTTTGCTTCCGTGTACTCAGCTTGTGCTTTGACTTTCTCTGCTCGTGTTCGACTGTTGTTGATTGGTGTCTTCTTGTTCCTCCTTTCTTTGATCTTGTCCAGTGTTTCTATAGAGATCAATTCCTTATGATGATGCTTGTTGCGACCCATCACCTCCTGACACGTTGATGTTGCCCTCCATAGTAGTTCCATGTACTTTCAACAGATCCTGTAAGGCTTGTTGAGAGTTATCTTGAATTATTTCAGTTTGTTAGTATCTAGAAGGAAGGTTATAATGGACCTTTGTAATACTGTTTCCCCAGCTGTCCAGTGTTTCTTTAGCTTCAATTTTATACTGGACATAACCAGATGATCTGAAGTCATGTCAGTTCCTCTCCTAGTTTTCACGTCTTCCATTGTCCTTCTGAATTTTTTATTGATACAAATATGATCTGTCTAGTTCGCTGTGGTGTGATCCTGTGAGACCCATGTAGCTTTACGTATGCGTTTGTGTAGTAATAATGTACCACCTATAACCAAGTTGTTGAATAGACATAGGTTTGCAAATCTCTCACCATCTTCTTTTCTCTCTCCCAGTCCATGTCGTCTCTTGATATCTTCATAGCCGGTGTTGTCCATTCCGACCTTGGTGTTTAGGTCTCTCATCAGGATGGTCGGTTCTTTTTTTAAGCACTTCGTTAAGATTGATTGCAGCCTCTCATAGAACTGATCTTTATTTTCGTCGTTACTATCATTGGTGGATGCAGATCACTGGATAACATTCATCATAATTACCTCCCTCTTTGTTTTGCATGATGCTTTGGTGATTCTGGATCCGTGAGATTCCCATCCTATACACACATTACGTACTTCTTTGAACAGCATCAGAGCAACTCCCTGCGTGTGTTAAGTACATCAGCATCTCTCCCGTATCTAGCCTTTGTTGTCTGGCTTGAGTTCAATAAGTTTCGCTGACTTCCAGAAATGCCAATCTGTATATCCTCATTTTCGTTGTTATTTGGCTGGTCCTCACATTGTCCGGACGTTCCATGTACATATGAAAAATGTTGCTCTGGTTGTTAGAAGAGGTATCGGCCTCGTGAATTCAGGAGAATCTCGGTTTTCATCCTGAGGCATCATAATTCTCCCTTAAACTCCTAGGGAAGAGTTTAAAAGGTTTAATTTGTTTAATCTGGTTGACGGTTTTTTAGCAGGATTTTTTTCTACGGGATGAGGCTGCCAACCCCATGCCAAACCGTCTTGCTTTACCTGAGCATGGGACCGGCAGTAACTCTAAAAGAGCCACAGGCGTAATTTTTCTTTACGCTGACCTAAATAACACTGTATTTCTGGTAAGCAATATGTTCAACTAATTTCGACTACGCGATCCTACTACTAGAAAGCAGATTGGCGATCCATATATGAGGTGAAATTTCTTCAAGTTAACGCCACTAGACTATTGTCCGCCATAGTAAGAAGGGCAGTCTGCCACAACGTAGGACCAAGCACATGTGTGCATCGGTCCAAGTTGTCATACCTCATTAGCACAACAAGATGAACACCAGATTTATAGAAGTGGTTAATTCGGCGGTGGTAATATATAAAAGAAAGATTGCATACAAGGACGTAGTACAAGAACAAAGAATTAGTTTGTAGAAAGAAAGATACTTCCAACAGTAAGAAGATATAGAAAATAGTTTAATTACTTATCAGAAGAAAAGGTGTAAGTATGAGATGTAAGCGCTTTTATGAAGGTGAATCACGTGACTAAAATGACATCATACTAACCTGAATATAATACGTATAAACCAAGTATGCATCGGATGCAATGTCTGCGAGGTAACTGATTATAGAAATGAGAAATATCACAACTTGATACCACCGAAATCCATGAACTTTAAGAAACTCAACTAGTCTTATTTCGTCCTCATGCTGAACAACAGTAGACAATGGAGGAGCACTTGAATGTGGAGTAACAAAGGAACTGGATGGTTCATCGGAAGAATTTTGTTTCGAAATCGGAGCATCTGTAATATCACGAACAGTAAGTGATTCTACTTTGCTCTTATTCCCCATGAGATTCCTGCTGGAATGTAATGTAAATGATGAGTTTTAGTTAATACACTGAATTAAGAAAGTCGGTATCTAAACACGGAAGTAAAATATCAATGAAACGTAAATATTATAATAACCCGTAGTAAAATTTATACTCCTGACACGTATCAGTATCACCTTCCTATTTTGGTTATATCTCTAATAATGGTTAGTGACGTTATAAGGGAACCACATAGTTGAAATAAACGTATGATTTAAACAGTACAATTGTAGTATCCAAATGTGTCGTCAGTCCACGGAATCCTTGACAGTTAATCTGAACTATGTAGGTAGCTGCATACAACCTGGTTCGGGTGCGTTTTGTGCGATTATCGTAACTAATAGTTAGAGACTGGGTTTAATGGCTCGCAATTGTTCACAATGGCGTTAGTACATTCACCATCCGTTTTCGTTTAGATCCTAAATTACCTAATTGTCTTTAAGAAAAATTTTCAATCATATGAATTCCTATTTTATAGAGTCATCTCTCTGATCCCCTTTTCTGCTATCACTAATACTGCTGCTACTTATACTACTTTGGAATACCCTGTATTTACGTAATTTAGCGAAACATGCACGTGTGTCAGGTCCTACGTTACATGTGATTGGCTAACTGTACAGTTGTAGTGATGTGCAAAAGTGCTTTAACGTTTCACTCACTTTTCCATCGATATGGTACAAAATATTTCTAAAGTATCATTCAGTATTGTCTGTGATTCAAGCTTGTGATGTAAATTGCTTTGTGGATTAAGCTTAAAGTGCATCTTTCACTACTCATATGACCAAATACAAAATTCAAGTATCCACTAAAGTGTATTTATTTTAGGAATACCTCGATTCCCAATTGTATTCGAATATATTTCTAGTAAGACGATGAAAATAGTTTTAGGTTATATTTTACTTCCACATGATAAGGGAGTTTAAACTGAAGTTTTTTTCTCCAGAATCTTTCATAAAATTTACTCTGAAAATAAAAAAGTATCCTTTAAGTATTTTTGGCATGATTTCGACTTAACGACAGCAAATACTCATGTTGTCATCTTCTAAGATTAACAAGTTTTTGTGCCGCAAGTGAGACGATTGTGATCTAGATCACCATAACAAAGTGGATTACAGTTATTATGAAAAGGTAAACGTAAACGCTAAAACTTAAAATTATTCACTGGATTAACACCACTTCCATTGATCTGCGCACCTTGCTACATAGAAAACGATCTACACATCAGCAGACTGTTCTATTTTCTTGGAACAAAATGAATGGTATATCATAGGGTGAATGAAATACTTGCACATCACTTACGTATTCTACAGTCAGTGAAGAGATATTTGATGCTTAGATGGTTTAGAAAGCTTACAATTGCGATGTCAATGTCAAAGATTAAGCTTTTTCGCCGGAAATACTACTGGCATAATAGTCGAGAGGTTTATTTAATTGCTTGGAATCTTGATATAAGCCGTGTAATTTGTAGTTATATTTAGATTTTGTTTACTCAGTTTACTTCTGCTTTAAGTAAACAAGTATTTTCTGTTTTTATAATCGAAATACCATTGGAACACTTTAAAATGGAGTGAAAGCATACATTGTTTGACCATTATGTTGCACAGGGAAGTTAGCCCACGTGGAAACTGCTTGCCACGACCATCTTGTAACCAATACCTTTGATGGTTGCACACAATGTAGGTTGGACAATCCATTTTCACTTCGATTGAACCTAAACATAACTTGGAGATAGAAATGTGATAGTAAAAATGAAGTACTTCTGGATACTAAAAACAGATGAAACTACACAAGAGTATACATTTATCATTAAGCACACAAATCGAAAAACTGGCAGGTGTCATTCGAAATATGAACAGCAGACTTATTGCTTAAAAATATGTATGTACATATCGCTGATACTGCATAGAGTTTGCAGCTCGATATAACTCATTAATACTCACTAGTCGTGTGATAAACTGGGGAAAACTTTGACAGAATAAAATGCTTGAATGGGTGACTCTTAAGACGTCTAGTTACTTTATGGGCAGAGGAAATAACAACTTTGACAAACAAGACAATTTAAAGCATACTAATATGTAATACAGAACCAGACTATGTTTAGGTGATCAGATGAAAAGACATGAGCTCCTAAAAAATTTTGGGGATACTTTTTGTAGTCTTTTTGTCATTGCTGCTACACTATTCCGATCTCGTTTACTCCCATCACGCCGTGCTAATGTAGTATGACTTTAGCCAAGATATATATGTGCCAGGCTCTATGATGATGGTGTCTATGGTAGTACCGTATCACATACAAATCAAAATTTAAAACGACTTTAAACAAGCCAGTAAAGTTAGCTTTAATTTATTTTAATCTAAAATTAATGGTAATGGTGACGGTATATACTACATATGACTGTAATGACTTAAAGCTATCACAAATGAAGGCCTCTTACTCTTTAACAGGGATTTTCAACCAGTCAGTCATCCAAAACGTAAGATATGAGACAAGTATATATATATATATATATATATATATATATATATATATATATATACTTGGTATAACTCCGCCTGGAGTCCCTCCGGGGGCTACTGCCGGTCCCAAGCCCAGATAAAGGAGGAGGGTTGGGCATGGGGTTAGCGTCCCCATCCCGTAGAAAACTAACTCGCTAGAAAAACACTAACCAGAAATAATTATTCAAACCTTTAGAGAATGCTGGTCGGCGGCCTATGCTCCATTGGGAGTAACAGGCGTAAGTAAGTAAGTACACTTGGTATACATATGTGTATCCGCCAAAGTGCACCTATCGAGAATTAACAAAAGTACAGAAAGCAATATAAAAAATAATACAAAGCTAAATATGGGCATGTTGGAAAAAGCGGAAGAAACGAGGAATAACGACTACGCTGCAAAACAACTCAATATGCACTGGAAAACGAATAACGATCGTTATTCGGCCGCAGTGGAGCAGTTACACTCGAGTGGCCGATTTAAGGCTGTTTTAATTAGCGTTTGAGTCTATGAATTGTGATCATACATTGGATTCCAATTTACAATCCTATTCTATTTACATCGCTCACACCAATAACCTAAGATTGATGTCAAGACTCAGTTTGGGCGCCACTAATATCCTCCAAAATTATTCCAATGTCAAAATGGTTCAAATGGTTGTGGACGGAATAGAAGAAGCTTTCGCTTAACATGCTTCCGTGTCTAGTAGCAGGGGATCACCAAATCCTCCAGGCAGGAACCTAGGTATGTTAACAAGAAAACAGGAAAAGAAATTAATAAATCATAGTTCGATACTATCCTTAGTCCTTAAGAATAGATCAAGTTGCCTCTTAAAGGACTCCTGGGAAGTCGCTTGGATTAGCTCGGCCGGCAGCGAATTCCAGCATTTGACAACTCTTAAGGAGTAGAAGTTGTGTCTACATTTCGTTCTGCTATGTTGTGTCTCCAGTTTTTGGGTGTTACCCCTTAGGTTATTATTCGAACTAAGCTTAAGTAGGTGTTTGAGAAGATGTCCAGAAGTGTTAAGGATACTATAAGCCATCAGAAGGTCACCTCTAAGACGTCTATACTCTAATCGGTAAAGGTCTAGTGAATGGAGGCGTTCTTCGTAAGGCATAGATTTGAGTCCTCGAACTGATTTCGTGGCTCGCCGTTGGACTCCAAGTGGCAGTCGACGTCTGTTGGCACGAAATGCTTCCAGAATTGCGGCCGCCATGTGTGAAGATGAGAAGGTTGTCTTCATTAGACTGGGTCTAGAATCACCATTCTTCTTGGCTAGTCTCGTCACATACTGAGTCAGTATGTTTTTGAGCCTCAAGGACTGTTTGATGAATTTCCATTCCATGATGTCAGAGTTTAATTGAGTAGGGTCCGTATTTTCCGGTATACCTTGCACGATTATATTCCTACTGCGGAAAAACTGATCGCGAGTTTCCATGGGGGATGTTCCGGATGAGATTGCGCTCAGAATATGGTATGTCAGGCAGTATTCTTATCTTCCCAGCTGACTTCAGTAAATGACTCTCTAGTAGGACATCCTCTACGTCGGTAGCATTTTTAAGTGTTACACAAAGTAGCGTCGGGTGATTTTGATGCTTAGATTCTATTCCCCAAGTGAGCCGTGTGACTGTCAAAGGCTCTATTCTTGGAAGTCCACGTTTCTTGTTCAGTTCTCCCCAGAGCATCCTATCATTTTTGTCCTGCAAACTGAGAGGAAGGTCAATGTTGTCTTTGAAGTTCATGACTATAGGAGAGTCGTCACGAATCGTTATTGTCGTCTCAGGTTTTTCGCTGAGTTCAGATTTAGCACCTTGTTGTTTGGGGGTCAAAGCACATTTATGAATCCTTGGCTCTTTGATGACCGGACGGACAATCTTGGAGGTAGACTGTGCGACCAGATCACCAGTTGACTTCCGTTCAACTTGGACTGTGACGCCTGGCCCTTTTTTGGCTCTTTTGACATGAGTCCAATCACCTACAGAGTTTTTGGGAACCACTGTCGCGTTCAAGGACCTTGAGCTGTGAGACCCGAGTTTTCTGAGGGAGTCGAGTACCGTCGTCGTAATCATGGTGCTGAGTTTCAGCTTGTCATCATTATTTCTGTTGCTTGCTCCGCCCTTGATAGAGCTGTCGACATCCCTGTTCTCGTTTTTAATGCGCCATTTTGTTTTTCTATCCATTTTTTTGACTGTCTTTTCTCAGGTTTGCCGACAACATGCTCTGCAGATCTGTCAGTAGGACAATGATATTACTCAGCAAGACTGCAGCATCAGTGCTGCACGTAACACATTCCCACTTATGATCCGACTCCCTGAGTCTGTTATAAGCAGTTGCTGTGAGATCTGTGCACGCTTCGTGGAACCAACCTATGCAGTTGTCGCACTGCATGCCAGATGTAACAGCAAAACGGCATCCAGGTCGTTTGCATGAATTTTTCATGACTGTATTGACGTAAACTGTGTTGTAGATGCTAGCAAAAGCCTAAGACCGTAAAAAATACACTAAAAAGCACACTGAAAACGGACAAAAATGGATAAAACGGATGAGATAGACTGAACTAGTCTTAAAGTGAAAGACTGGAAAAAAACGAATAGTAAGCTGAGGCAAAACCACAGTTAACTATTAAATGGAGTGAAACTCAAAAAATTATAATCTACCAAACGTATAGCTCAGGATAGATTCTTTTGGTCAGAAATGGTACTTTTGTTGCGTAAGAACACAGCAAAAGTTTGATAAATGCAAATCACGTTAAGATTAAACTTCCCGTTCGAAAAGCGTCAGCCAGCAAAACAGACCAGAGATGACAGAGGACAGGCTTGCACAAAATATGTCTGAACAGTCTCAATAGATGAAAGTCTATAGTCGCATTAGTCAACTTTTTACATGGACCGAACTCCTAAACTGAGCACTACCTTGGGTTATTACTAAACACGAGGAAGGCTTCTAAAACACATGATCAAACAATTGCAACCTACACAGATAATCTAATTCACAGATTGTTTCGGAGCTATATAAAAAATGTCGTGAAATAAGCAGGGAGACAATATGCGTATAATAAGAAGTGTGAATCGGCAAAAGCTGGACAACCTGTTACGAGATTTCGTCAAACCAGTACAGTTGAACGAGAGTGTTCACCCTCCCGCTCGAAGTGATCTTACATGACCACGCGTATACAGCCACTAACAGGGATGTCCTGCTTTTTTCGCGGCGAGGGTGTTGTTACGAAACTGAGAGGACGAAAGGTGAATGTTTGATAACTTACCTGGGTTGGTGGACACGAAGGGTCCACCTAGGAGAGTTGGAAAACCCTGACTCCAAATCAATGTTGCACATCGGCTTCAGGGTCCTGAGGGAACGAATGGTGTACGAACCTATTGTTGTTCACCGGTTAGCATGGGACTGCATCTCACAATGTTGCTCCATCTTCTTGTGGATTGGACCTTTAGATCAAGAGCTCTGGGCGTTGCCACTTAACAAAATTGCCTGCTTCGGTCTGTGCATCCGAGCGGTGTAACAGCCCACACACAGTTTTGTTGTCCATTACAGCCCACAACCACTGAATACTTTCTCAGGCCTACCGCTCAATACATTTCATCTTCATTTTCAAAGCTTGTTACGAAGAGTTTCTTATCACCAACCATTTGAACAGATGTAACAGAGTCTTAATGACTTTTCGATTTTGTTTCCTTTCAAACATTGCTTTTTTACTATTGCCCCAAACTAATCAACGATAAACATTTGCCTTATTTTGCTAACAGTAACTAATCAGTTCTCCATTAAACGTGTCCTCGACTTTCCTATTTCCGACAGGTGACGTTGAATGCAGCAACGTTTGAAGACTGATGGACTGGTGTAAGGGGACTTGATTTTATCCATTTTAATTTTTATGGTTACTTATTATTTTTATTCTGTTTTGCTTATTATTCTAAATCCCAACTAATAGTTCATCTATCATGTTCACTAAAGACATACAAGCGACCTGTGTGCCAGCTTGCTAACAGTCGAGGTACACAATGTTGTAGTTGCGAAGTTGGCTTTATGAACCACGCACAAAACTTATTGTGGCTGTTTATAACACACTAAAAAGATCCTAGCATAAGTTTCGACCAAACCAAGAGGTTTTTAGCTAACTCTTATGCGCCTAACTTAAGTCGTCACATCAGCTTCCCCCAAAGACCGACTGTCATAGAAATGTTCCTTCGGTTAACGTACAGGACAAACCATGTTAGTTCGATTTCACAGCTTATTGGGAACGATGGTTTGAGTGTGTGCAGAGGCAGTACATAGGTACAAAAAACTTGTAATCATACACGATGTTCTCTGATTCTTAATCATTCAGACATGAAAAAAGGGTATAAAGGTACGTTTAGTCAAGACGAGCTATGGATTCCCAAACCTGGTTGGATTCAATGGTCTTTATAAGCCATTGTCCATTATTATACCCTACCAAATATAAATTAACACGGTGGTAATGACAGCCTTTGAATTTTATTGATTCACAGTGAAGACAAAGTGGTCATAATTTTTGAATATCAAAGAGTAATATTGGTAATAACCACAATAATAACAGTCAAAACTAGCTAATTAACATAATGGCTTTTGATGTATATGACCGTTAAGATTGAACACATATTCGTCTCTAATCTCCTCGTACTGGGAAATTTTGTAAGTGTTTTAGCGAAAAACCCCAAAACAATGGATACACAGGTTACTTCCCAAAATCCGTTGGAAATACTGGAGAAAAACTTCAAAAGCAGCATGGCGTAGTTGTGTGGACAGGGGTTTATTTCTTACTAACTTGTGTGAAGTCTTTAGTTGATAATTACAACGAATGGTATTGTTTCTTCATATGGCAGAACAAACAACTACATATTCTGTCGTCGAAATTTTGGCCGTGTTTCAATATTTTATATGTACACGAGACAAAGAATCGTTTATTTTACACCACTTTTATAAAAACTTAGGTGTATCAAGTTAAACCATCTGGTCCTAGTTTTGTCGATTGCTTTTTCTAATAAACTTAAGTGCACTGTGTGCGTTTGCTTGGTTATCGACTCCACTTTTCTTCTGTTCTTATCTTTTCCAACACTCATTACTCAATGAACACTGCACGATCCTTTAGTACATAAAGTGACATCTATCTAGAACGTATTACAATCAGGGCAACATTATTCATGTCTTGGTTTTACACCCTAAGATTTCAGATGTGTTCTCAACATTCCATAAATAAAACACTGACCGTCAGTTTATTTTACAGAGAAAGACAAACTGAAAAAATATTCAGTTAAACCAAAAAAATATTTGAGTTGTTATTTATACATATGTGAAAGGTTTCGTCAAGTGAAAATAAGGTTGATTTCATGAACTTGGTATGAACACCAGTGTAGCCGTGGGACAAATGCTTCAAACTAATTCACCCACTGTACTCAAACTCTAGACGTTGTCGCCGACCAGTCCTGAACAAACATTTTAAATTTTCAGGTCGAGAAACAAGTTTAAGCATACTCACAGTTTTGCTCAAGGAGATCAAAGAACCGTATTTCGTCCGTCTTAACCAGACAAAGCTGTCATATGCGTATTTTTCGTCGATCATTTAATCTCTTCGCAGATCAGTTGCAAAAATATCAGGTGAATGAAACGTTACGACG